AAAGTAGATAACTATTTTATTAAAAAGTAAAATTCAATTAAAAATGCTGTATATTTTGAATAAAAGAGTATTTCTTACATGGCTCATGATACATGAAACTTGTTAACATTTTTTTATTATATGTAGACATAAGATTTTATGTATTTAATATAATAAATTATATTTGAAAAACTTTCTTTATTATTATTATTGATCTATAATATTTAAATATATAAATAACTTTAGAGAGAATATTATTAATATACTTTGAATGTATAGTAAAAATTCATCATCTAGAACAACTACAACAGTATCAGCCTACAATCAAATTCTCCCAACAAAACATTGGAAACTTGAATTTTTTTTATATATTCTTTCTAATTTTTTGTTAATTTTTTATATGGTTAATATATGATAACTATGTGCTCTCTATCATAAATATCGATGAATTATCCTTCTCTCCTCTATTATATTAAAAATTATAGGTAATGAATATACATGAAACGTAATTCGTAAGCATTCAATTTTTTTTTTTGAGCAAAAACATTCAAATTAAATAACAATTTTCACATTCAAGATTGTATTATTTTTAGAAAATATTTTGGGCCCCTCCTCTTCTCACTCTAGTTCCGCCATTGCTTCCCCCTTCATCTTTCATTCTTCATCCTCTTCTGCAAGAAAAAGACGATGCAGCCGCAACTGCAACAAAAGCCTCTCTTCTTCTTTGTCTTCTTAAGCTTCATAATAATCTGGTCATGGGGGACTCTTGACGGCGTCGTTTCAGACCCTCAGACGAATCTAGTGCGACTGTGGTGCGATCAAGACGGCGACAATGATGGGTCCATCTTGAAGGAGATCCTCAACGAAACGTTTCGAGACCTGAGAGCTCAGATCGAAGACCAAAGCAAACTCTTCGGCACAGCTCAAGCAGTGAAGGCTAACATCGCCGTTTATGGCCTTTTTCAATGTAGAAACTACCTCTCCATAGCCGACTGTCTTGCTTGCTTTAACGTCGCCGCCGTGAACATCCGCAACTGCTCCGCCAGGGCTTACGGTGCTCGTCTCGTCTACGACGGCTGCTTCCTCAGGTACGACTAGTCGGCCATCCTCAAGGTTGATTTTATATATGTATTTTTATTAGAAAAAGTTTTTATATTATTATTGAGTCTCCGTGTAATAATATAATTCCTTCAATTCTATTCATTAAAAATTTAATAAATTTCTATACTTGTCAATATACATAAAAAATTTTATACTTGTCAATATACATAATTTAATAACATATTCTATATCATTAACATTTAATCAAGTAATGAGAAAAAATTGATAAAAATAATAACAAGCTTTATAAATAAAATTAAAAAAAGATTCTTTTATGTTTTTATTGTAAATAAGATCTAAGGGAGTAATCACTATATAGTCACTTGAATAAGCATCTCCTTTTTTTTTTTGAAAAAAAAAGATAAAACAAAAACAAATTAAATTGACAAATTAAACAATCGTATTAACAATATTGTTGGTAAACAAATTAAATTTCTGTCTTAAATGCAAATATCCTTCTAAAAGCACTTCCTTATAGAAGCCATAGGCATAACAGGAGTTCAATAAACCAATTTTTTGCACACTTTATTTTTTTATAGAAAAAAGGTGATAATTGTATGTATGGGTAAGCCTCATAGTTATGTCTTTTCAATTTGTTTTTCTTGATTACATCAAGAGAGGATTACATTCTATCCTGCCCCACCCATACACACACAAAGGAGGCAGCCAAAATTTGCAACCCTTTTGGCCAAATGCCAATACTTATACATAGTGACTTTCATTTGTGTTTAATTAATGAAGGTACGAGAGCACTCAAGAATTCGATCAGGCCAGTGAAAGTTGGAACAACATAAGATGTGGGAATCAGACACTAAAAGATTCCCCTGCGCTTGCTTCAACTGTGCAACAAGTTCTGACAAATCTAGGCACAGCAACCCCCAGAATGCCAGGTTTCTATGCGGCCACTAAGACGGCCGTGCCTAATAGTAATGGCTTCAGTATTTATGCCATTGCTCAATGTGTTGAGACCCTCTCACAAAGTGGCTGCCAGAATTGCATCGACACTGCGTCAGGAAAATTTCAGACTTGTCTTACAACCTCAAATGCTGAGAGTTATGATACGGGCTGTTTCATGAGATACTCCACCAATGCTTTCTTCTCTGATAATCAAACCACTGATATCAACGGCTTCTTGAAGAAACAAGGTAAAGCATTGTGTGTGTATTCCCTGTGGTCCTATATATAAGTCACTTTCAATATATTTAATCAAAATTAAAGAAAATCTTGAACCTCATTAACCTTACCTAAAAATTTAATAAATTCTTAACTTGGCCTTTATTAAATATACATACTTTAACAAAATATTTTCTCTCTTCAATATTTAATGGAGGACAAAGAAAAAAATTTATGATAAAAATTTAATAATATGATTTATAAATAGGATAAACAAAAAATCTTCTCTCCAAACTCTGTAAGTAGGACTGCAGGGAGTATTATCTGTGTTGTAGAACTATACATATTAATATATTATTAGAGATTTTATTTTTTCCTAAGATTCTCCACCCCTTAATTTCTAATAACCACATCATTTATATCACTCCCTTGAGCAAAAAAATAAAATAAAATGGACAATTCATTCAAAGGTTTAAACATAACACGTATAAAGACATGACCATTTCTTGTTGCACGAGTTAGGAGTAATTTTTAATCTTTTGTTATATACGATGACTTGTGTCGTGGCTTGATTAGACAATTGTCCTTCCCTACAGGTTCAAGCAATAAGGCATTCATCATTGGTATTGTTATTGGAGGTTTAATGCTTTTTTTGATCCTCCTTATTGCATTATTTGCCTGGATTAGGCCACGAAAAAGCCCAAAGAGGGTTCCCAAAGGTAAACAAGGTCTTCATTGATTTAATCCTTTGGTTTTCACATTTTCACTCAGCATAAAAAGCTATGGGCTTTCATCTTTATGGAAGGAGGACTCCCTGACTAAAAAAAAAAAAACAGGACGAGACATTGACTGATGCTGTCTTTAATATATAGGAGACATTACTGGAATAAGCCAGTTGAAGGCCCCAGTTAATTACAATTATAAGGATTTGAAGTCTGCAACAAAAAATTTCAGCCTTGAAAATAAACTTGGAGAAGGAGGATTTGGTGCAGTATATAAGGTAACTACACAATATTTTGATATGTATCATATACCAAAGCTTACATGGATGTTTCTTCTAATTGAGTTTTACATGGTGTTGTAAAAGATTAGCTTTTAATAGGACAAAGGTAGAATCTCAAATGTAAGACCTTTGAAATTGAAATTTTTACTTGTCATGAACAGGGCACTCTGAAGAATGGGAAAGTAGTTGCAGTCAAGAAATTAACTTTACGGCAATCCAAGAGGGTGGAGGAAGAATTTGAGAGTGAAGTGAAGCTTGTAAGTAATGTTCATCATCGGAATCTTGTTCGACTTCTTGGATGTTGTAGTAGAGGCAATAAGAGAATTCTGGTCTATGAATACATGGAAAAGACCAGTCTCGACAGATTCTTATTTGGTATCTCATCATCCAATAAAGCTTATATGTGTGCGTGTGCTTATGCATTTTCTATTATATTTCTGAGTTTATCATGATGACAGATGGGATATTTTCAACCTAAAAATAAATCATTGACTCTAACAAAAATTGATTCTCATGTCATAATTTTATTCAAGAATTCAATGTGTGTGTGTATAAATTACCTACTGAAACATTTTGTGAATTACTTTGATGTATCACCCTTTATTTTTTTTTCTTCTTCTACCAGGAAAAAATAAAGGTTCTCTTAATTGGAAACAACGATATGATATAATTTTAGGAACAGCAAGAGGCTTGGCTTATCTTCATGAAGAATTTCATGTCTGTATTATTCATAGAGATATAAAGACTAACAACATTCTCATAGATGATGATTTACAACCTAAGATTGCTGATTTCGGCTTAGCGAGGCTCTTACCCGAGGACAAAACTCATCTCAACACAAGATTTGCTGGAACATTGTAAGTTGAAATAACTTTATATGTGATTTTCTTAAATTCTTAATTTCATATATGAGCAAGTGGAACACTCATACTACAATAGATAGTTTTAAATTATTTTTTGCCTCTATGCAAGCAAGAATGCATCAAGAAAGAATTCTTGTTGTTGTGGGGACTTGATGCAATGCTGCAATATGCTATCTGCTTGTCTCTTACAGATTTTGCTGGTTTTCCATTTTTCTTTGTTAGTTCTGAACATTCGGGTTTTGTTAATTAGAGCCATTTATGATATATAATGTCACAAACATGATACATTTTTTAGAGGATACACAGCACCGGAGTATGCGATTCATGGACAATTATCAGAGAAGGTTGATGTGTATAGCTATGGTGTTGTAATCCTAGAAATCATTAGTGGTCGAAGAAACAATGAATTAAATGTCAACGGTGCTGCTGAAGGCGAATTCCTCCTTCAACAAGTAAGAAAGCTCCTATGACTATTTAAAAGGCATTTTTTTCTATTGGAGAGAATTTATGAGTATGACTTTTTTACATCTCATCTTATTTCTTTTAAGAAAAACCATTCCGCTTTTTATTAGTGCATTTCATAACAGATGTTTAAAAGAAATTAGCCTCAATTTTCTTTTGTATTTTTTGGTAGAATTGCATTTGTCCTTTATACACTTCTTCATCATTTTTACTTTAATCTCACTTTGGTAGGCTTGGAAGTTATATAAGAGAGGCATACACATAGAGTTGGTGGACGATACCATAGACCCTAATGATTATGATGTAGAAGAAGTGAAGAAAATCATAGAGATTGGTTTGCTTTGCACTCAAGGATCTGTAGAAATAAGGCCGAAAATGTCTGAAGTAGTTGCACTGCTCCAACAAAAGGGTTTATCAGAGGATATGAGACCCACTATGCCTATTTTGATTGAAATTAATTAGACCCATTATGCCTTCTCTACAGATATATAATTGTTATTTCTTTGACTTTCATATTGTCAGCAAGATGATTTTATTCACCGGGAACGTATAGTTGTGGCTCAGTTCAAGCAAAAATTAGGGGGAAACCAAGATAGAAGAAGGAGAAATCTGAAAATGATGGTCCTTCATTCCGTTCTCAAACATGCGTGTATATAATATATCAATCTTAATTAAGTGCATATCTATTGATAATTACACATAATTCTGAGTAAATTACATTAAGCTCTCTTAAAAGTTGGTTGAACTTCATATGATATCCCTTTTATTTTAAAAGTGATATTATATATGAATCCAATTTTATTTTATTTTTCTGATTAATGAAGTTAATTTTCCTAAATAATGCGACTTTTTTTAAAAGTGAAATTAATTATTTATCTTTGTCGTCTAAGAGTGAAATAGCAATAATGTGACTGACAATGCAACTAAATTACCCGGCAAGTACATACAGATAAGCCCAACAAGTCTGACAACGTTACGTCAACATAGTTGCAGTTATGACTGACATTTTCTATCAACAACAGCCTGAATTTTCCCGCGGTAAGGTATGATGATAACTTAACATAAGTAAGGATGCTCGCATCTTGGGAAGCTTAATTATTGAAGAATTTAACTTGATCGCTTTCAATGAACTATGATAACTAAACGAAGTTCATGGTAGTATAATAGCAGAAAACAATCAAACGCCAGTACATCAATTTTGGCAGTGTGCTAGCAAACTTTTGAACAAAGAATTTTGTAACCAAGATTGAAATATGTTATTATATTCTAAGACCCATTAATATATGGGTGGCATATCAAATACAACATATTGTATAGTATGTGGATGTTGACGTCTAGAATTACGTGTCATTTTAGTACATTTTTCTTGGATTTTAATACATTCTGGCGTAATAATACATACTTTGATTACTCAAATTTAAAAAATGTGCTTTTTTTTGGGATTGTACATCATGGCTTTATCTTGATATTTTCTAGCAAATTTCACGCTATATTGGTTTAGGGATGTGTTGGCAAGCCATTCTGATCATTAGTGGAAGCTTTTGAAAAGCTGTAAGATCAAGGAATCAGATGCAAGGTCTTGACCTTTTTTTCGGTGTTAAATTTGCAACTTTCAGTCGCTGACAACAAAACAAAGCGTTTTATATATTTAGGTGATAAAGTTATGATTTTAGAGGCTACAATAGTTGGTAGAGCTAATAATTAAGACGAGTTGAGTTTATTCAAGTCGAGTTTAAAATATCATATCATATAAAAAAAAAAGTTTACATAATCAAACCTGACTCTAATCCCTCAGGTTTATTCGGGCTCGCTTGTAGACCTAAATTGTTAAATATTATATTATATTATTTTTTATTTTTTATCTAATTTTAATTCTTAATTAAAAAATTAATATATTCCATTTTTATATTTTTTATATTATTTCATTAATAATAGAAAAAGCTATTTAGGCTCGTGTTTGGCTCAAATTTCTTCGAGTTTATTTAAACGGCCTGAATAAGTCAGAAGTAAAGAAAATCTTTTAAATTTTCAAGTTTAACCTTAAAATTTTTTGAGCTTGTGTGAGTTAACTTGTCAAACTTGACCCAATTTATTGCCTCTAATAGTTGGTTTCAACTATGACCATCAATATTCTGGACTTCTTTGGAGTGTTTGGGAGCTCTTGGAGTGTGATAGGACTTGGATTTTAATGGGATTGAGCTACGGATTGAAGATTGAAATAGATTTACCTTCATATTTTAGTTCTTCTCCATTCTCCTTTCATTCCTTTTGTTCAATGTTTATGTTAATATATTTATATTATTTTGTGAGTTTTCTGAACATATGTAGATGAATCTTTGATTCTAAGATTATTTTAAACCTTTGTATAGATTAAATACTCATTTTTCTTATATATATATATATATATAAATGATGTAATTATGTTGATTTTACTCTATGCTTAATGTTTTTGGTTGATTGGCATTAATAGATTGTTGGGTTCACTTGCTTAATGTTTGAAAGAGCTAGATTAAATATAGGACTTGAGTTAAATCGTGAAAGGACTTAAAATTTTTAAGTTGAATGGATGGTTTTATTAATAAAGTAGAGATGCACTCATTAACTTTACATAATATAATTACATAGGATTTGCAATGAAAGTTTGAATTTAATTAATTAAGAGATTAAGGGATTAATTAGACTAAACACTTACTTGGAGACCTGAGAGAGCACTTATAAGTAATTTAGTATCCTTAACTAGCATAATTCATTATTAGAGGAAAGTATAATTGGGGTTTTTTTGATTGAGTATTGTTGAAGTACAAAAAGGGAGAAATAATATCCTAGGCCTAATTACATTCAAAAAATCCTGAATCAATTTCTTTTATAATAAGTTTTCATAGTTTTTCATACATTTAATTTATATTTTAAACACCATTCATCCTTTGGATTTCTCAACTTAGTTAAATACCCCATGTCTTTTGCTTGACCAAATTTTAACACAAATTTATGTAAAAACAATATTCTACTTACTTTTTATTTTTTTTTGGGTGAATTACTTACTTCTTATTATTTGTTATGATCCGTCCACCAGTGCAGTGCAAATAGTGGGATATGATAACTTTTTTTAGACGTTGAAATATATGTGCAATATTAGGTAGAATCTCAAGGAACAGATAATTAATGAATATGTTGACTGACCAGATCACCGCTTTGCATCATAAAGTGTCGAAGCAAAAGCTAACATGAAGAATGATTTGTAGACTTAATGTAGCCAAGATTTCCAATTCATGTACATATACATAACTCACGCTGTCATATTCAACTGACTTATTTTACACCATAGGCCAAGAGGCTATCATTTCACTGCAAACTTTGCTACCGGTAAAATTGACGTTCCATTGTACTCAGATCTTGTGTAATGATACAATAAAGGAGAAAACTTACTGATCAATTTTCCTTTTCATAATCACTATTGTATATTCTCCAGGGTCGAACTTCAAGAGACCCTTAACGATACGATCAAGTGTAACGCAATCACCTTCCTGATAGAATGGAAACGGAGACAGTAGCATTTGATGAAGATGAACTATGAGACACAGAGGTTTCTCTCTTGGGCCAAGAACTAGGATCAACATAGACAGGCATAGTGGGTTGTGTGTGCTCCATTAAGCTCTTTCTCTTGAGCATTCTAACAATTTCAGACATTTTTGGCCTTGCTGCGGGTGATGCTTGTGTGCAAAGCAATCCAATCTCTATGATCTTCTTAATCTCTTCTGCATCATACTCATTTGGGTCTAAGTTTTTGTCCACAAACTCTATGTGCATTCCTCTCTCGTACAGTTTCCAAGCCTGAGATCAAAGTGATATAATAGTGGGAAAAAAGGTAAAATCTTAGGCATGTTTATTAGATTATTGAAAATTTTCTAAACACACAAGAGCAACACTTGAAGTTTCTTCTATAAAAGAACTCATTTGTTATATTATTTGTTGTACAAATTTACTTACTCTTTGAAGGAGGTATTCGCCCTTGTCATCAACTTTTGATGCACTAACTTTTTGTCCGCTTATGATCTCTAGGATTACGACACCATAACTATAAATATCTACCTTTTCTGATAATTGTCCATGCATTGCATATTCAGGTGCTATATATCCCCTGACAAAAACATATCATTGATGATGGCATGATGAGAAGGATATGATAATGTCATAACAATATTCCATTTGATCAACACATTAATTTTTTTGACAAACTCATGTTTTTTGTGATAAATAGAAGTGATGAATAAAATAAGATAAAATTTATATGCATTTACTTACATTGTTCCAGCAAAATTTGTATTGAGATGAGATTGGTCTCTTGTCAAAAGTCTCGCTAATCTAAAATTAGCAATTTTAGGTTGGAAATCATCATCCAAGAAGATGTTATTAGTTTTTATATCTCTGTGTATGATGCAAACATGAAATTCTTCATGTAAATATGCCAAACCCCTTGCAGTGCCCAAAATTATCCCATAACGTTGCATCCAACTGAGAGTGTCTTTATTTTCACCTATGTGCACCACTTTAGAGAGTGAGGAAAAAGAAAAGAAGAATAGAGGAAATAAAGCTAATTCTCAAAACAATAAAAAAAAATAAAGATTTTGTTTACCAAAAAGGAATTGTCCAACATCGTTGTTTTTCATGTGCTCATAAACAAGAAGTCTCTCTTGGCCTTTGTTGCAACATCCCAAAAGTCGAACAATATTTCGATGATGAACGTTACTTATCAACTTTACTTCACTCTCAAATTCTTTCTCCATCTGTCCGGATTGGCCTAAATCCAATTTCTTGATAGCAACTACTTTTCCATTTTTTAAAGTACCCTGCTCAAAAAATTAAAGACATCATACTTACTATTCAACATGCTTATAGTTGTATTAAAAACAAAAAAAGAACTTGCTCATAGCGAGTTGAACATAAAAAAAGAACCCCAAAAAAAAAAGTTAACGTTATGTTAATTGTTAAATGAAGTATACTTTTTTTTTCCGGTGTAAAATCTACCTTTCCTTCTTTCACGAGATCGATTCTTTTAGAAGAAAAGATATAAGAAACGTTACAACTATCGTACAATGTAATAATGAAAATGAATGTTTTGTGATGCTTACCTTGTATACATCACCAAAAGCTTCTTCTCCTAGTTTATTTTTTTCACTAAAGTTTTGTGTCGCTGACTTTAGATCTTTATACCTAAAGTTAACAGGACCTTTTAACTCAGTTGATCCCAAAATGTCACCTGTAAGGAATACCAAAGTAAACAACAACAAAAAAACTCTTTAAATAATTAATAAAAATCAGCCAGAGATTCATCCGTTCATCAATAAATTCATAAATTTTCTTTTGGACCGCGGCAAGGATCAAAGCACCACATCAAATCATTTCAAATTAAATAACAAAGACGTTTTTCAGTTATCTTACCTTTAGGAACCATCTTCGATGACTTTGATCGACTATACAAAGCAAATAACGCAAAGAGAATCAAAATAAAAGACACTCCTCCCACGAGACCACCAATAATGGCCCCCTTCTTGCTTGAATCTCCTACAAGACACAAGGAAAAGGTTTACCCAAGATTTTATAATCCAAAAATAGATACAATATGCAAGCTACTTTAAGTTTAT